TGATTATCATGGGTTGTTTAGTTTTTACTCTTACTAATTTTTTCAATTGGCATTGCAAACATTGCTGAGATGTCGGATTTAAGATTCTCCCAATAATAATTGTGTTTTATTCTATGATAAGTTTTCGTAACGCCTCGATGTCCTCCAGTGGGCGAGCAATGCATTTCGCCGATAATAATGGAGGGAAGGTCCTTAGGTGGATATTTAATTAATCCATTGCATATTATTAGTTTAGTTGAGTTGGTAAAAGCCAGTTGTAACAAAGACTTGATATTATTCCATGGTACGTTATTGACAAAGTCCGTTTTCGCGATCTAATAGTTTCCAATTTTAATTTTTCGACTATAATTCTTAAATCTTTTACTACTATAGAAATTTGAGAGAGTGTCAACGTCGGGCCTTCACGTTGCCTTTCACTAACAGGCAATGCTACATGATAATACTTCTTATATTTTATGGCCTTTGCTTCGCCTACGGTCAGGTCCTTTAGGCAAGGGATCTCATTTCTTTCGAAAAGTTTCTGGAAGCCTGAATCTAATGATTTTCCGTCGGTGTCAACAAAATAAGCAGTATTATCCCTGCGTAGAAATAATAAATCGCGGCTATTGATTATATTATCCTTGGTTACTCTTATTTTTGAGCTTTGATTTTTATTATTTTTATCTGATTCTTCGTCTTCGTCATCGGTACTTGCATTTTCTTCGATATCTTTTTCTTTGTCTGGTGGATTATTTCTATTTTCCATTTCTTCGATTCCATCTTCGTTTTCCTGTGATAACATTTCTTTACGTGCATTTCTATTTTTTGTTTGAACTCCTGGTTTGGATAGTGTTGTAATTAGGTGGTTCATGGATTAATGCTTCTTCGGTGATTTCTACTCTCGGCGGACCTCGTTGTCGGAAAGATATAATTCAAAATTTTCGTCCTCTTCTTCTTCGTCGCTTTCTTCTAGCATTCTAGAAACCATTTCCACATCTTCGGGATCGTCAAGATTCAAGGATCTATTAGAATTAATTATTTTGCAATTTATTTCTTCGAGGTTTATAGGATTTCTTGATAGAGCGTCAGCGTTTACGTTGGTTTTACCTGCTTTATATACGACATCATAGTCGTATTCGGCAAGTTTTAATCTCCAACGGAGTATTCTCATATTGGCATCTTGTGCATTTTTAAACCAGAGTAATGGCTTATGATCTGTGACTAATGTGAATTTTCGTCCATATAGATATGGTCGAAAATGTTTAACGCAATATACTATTGCTAATGCTTCCTTTTCATATGTGTCATATTTTATTTCGTTATCGGTTAATGTTCGTGAAGCGTACGCTATCGGTAAGTCTTTATTTATTTCTCCTTGTGATAAAATGCCTCCCACGGCTATTCCAGAAGCGTCTGTCGTTAAAATAAAAGGTTTCGAAAAATTGGGATATTGTAAAACAGGTTTTTCACATAATTTTTGTTTCAATGTCTCAAATGATTCTTCTTGAGCAGATGTCCATTCGAATGGTGTGTCATTCTTTAACAAATTCGTCAATGATTTTGCTAATGTCGAAAAGCTTGGTATAAACCGGCGATAATATCCTGCTAATCCCAAAAATTGTTTAATGTTTTTGGGAGTCTTTGGTCTAGGAAAATGTTTTACAGCTTCTAATTTTTTAGGATCCGGTTTAACGCCATTTTTTCCAATTACATGGCCTAGATAGGTTACCTCTGTTTTTAAAAATTCACATTTATCTGGCTGTAATTTTAGGTTGGCTTTACGAAGACGGTCTATTAATAAATTAAATTTTCTTTCGTGTTCTTCTAAAGATGTGGCGTAAATGACGATGTCGTCCATATAAACAAATAATTCTTGGCCTTGTAATCCTGATAGCACTAAATCCATTAATCTTTGGAATGTTGCAGGAGCATTTTTTAATCCGAAGGGCATGCGTTCAAATTCGTAATGCCCGAAAGGAGTTGTAAAAGCGGTTTTATGGCCATCTGCAGGATCCATTTTTATCTGATGGAATCCGGAAGCCAAATCACATACAGAATAATATTGTGCTCCTCCTAATTGATCTAGAATGTCAACAATATTAAGCAATGGATATGCGTCTCCGACAGTTTTTTCGTTCAGAGCGCGGAAATCTAACACCATTCTCCATCTCTTATTTCCTTTTGAGTCCTCTTTTTTCGGT